TTCCACCAATCAAAATCCAGGGATTAGGAACTTTCCTTATGTGGCTGATCTATGCCAAATGTACAACTAATCAAGTTTATTTGCTTTTTGTCATTAGAAACATCTATTATTCGTAAGGAACAACTGAAGAATAAGGAGCTTTTGCGGGCTATTATTGTTTGATGAAGAAGCTGGTCAATTACTTCAAAGTCCCCTGCTCCCCTAGGGCCTAGGAACTTGATCTTATGATTACAATGGAGTCTGAAACAAAATGGCAGCGCTTCGGCTAGGTTTCTTTTGTCTGTTCCTAACAGTCTGCTGGACTGAACAAGCCTCACTTCAACAATCAAGCTAAGATCAGCTTTGAGTAAGAAACCATGTAGTTTGCAGTGAATATGGGACATTTCTAGTCACCATTTATTTAATCAACACTGATGCTAGCTTTTTGAGGAAACTAGAAAAACCCCTGTATATCTCTAGGCTTAAAATAGTGTTTAATGAGGCTGGAGAGATGGCTCAGAGGTTAAGAGTACTGGTTGTGCTCTTCTTCCTAAAGGTCCTGAGTTCAATTCTCAGCAACCACATGGTGGCTCACAACTATCTGTAATGAGATCTGGTACCCTCTTCTGGCCTACAGACAGAACACTGTATACATAACAAGTCTTTTTAAAAATAGTGATTAATTACAGTTTTATGTGTTATGCACTATAAGGTCATCTGGAAGTGAAAGCAATGTGGCTAGCAATAAAGTCCCGTAGGATTCACACTTCAGGGAACCTCTCTCTATGGCAGGAGTCACCTGTAACATTAGCACCTAGGCAGGTGGGTGGGGAGCAACATCTTCTAAAACAGCAGTTATCAACTTCTGCACTATTGACATCTTGGGTCAGACCATCCTTTGTCGTAGGGGTTGCCTCCAACCATAGGTAGCACCTCTGGTCACTACCCTATAGATGCTCACCCCTCATCCAGTTACGAAAATTAAATGCCTCCAGATATTACCAAGCATTTCCCCAATTAAGAGCCTCCCCCCCCCCCCACCCCTTAATAATATGTGAAAACCAAAGAATTCTCTCACTGTTAGAGAATGACAGGCTGAGAGTTAACTCCATGGGAAGTCACTTTTCAGGAAGAGACAGCGGTTCGAGACAGGATTCTCTGTGTAGCCCTGGCTGTCCTGGAAATCACTCTGTGACCTGGCTGGCCTTGAACTCAGGGATCCACCTGCCTCTTCCATTAAGTGCTGGGATTAGAGCTGAACCACCATGCCTGGTTGGAGCCCTGGGGTTTTATTCTTACCATCTTGCAGAAGAAAACAAAATGTCATTAGTAGCAAGAAAACTACAAAAGGGACTCTTCACAGGCCTGCTTTTTGGAGTAGTTAAGTGAAAATGAAGGAAAGAGATTTTTTGTGAAGCATTTTGCTTAACATAAGGCCAAAACAACAACAACAACAACAAAAAAACAAAACAAAAAAAACTTTCTACAAGTCCTGGTGATATTTAATGTACCACCTCCCCCAATTTCCCTCCTTCTGTAAAAATGCCTGGAAGACTACATTACTACGAGTGTGCACGCACGCGCACGCACACACGCTCGTGCGCACACACACACACAGTAAATGGAGGGACCAGAATGACCCTGCATCTGTTTTTCACTAGGGAAACTTGTACTTTCAAGCGGCGTCATGCATTAAATGTTGGCTCTTGATTTCCCTAACAAGAACACAAATGTTTATGCAGACTGGGTGAGGACAAAAGATTGTTTAACAAATATACTTAAGTCTTTTATTTAACATCTCCAGGACTACAAGCTGCATGAAATGGTTTGTGCCAAGCAGTACTGGCTCCCTCTCCTCACAAATTCTCTCAAATTCTCCCATGGGAAAAGACAGCTGCTTCCCTGGAAGTCCTTCTTAAGTGCTAATTTATCATTCCTTAGGGTTCAGCGTGGTAGAACAGCAACATTGTTGTGTTACACTGTGGGCCACAACTTTTTTTTTTTTTTGCTTTGTATCTTAGACCAGTATTGTTCAGTAGAAATACAATGCAAATCACACCAAGGTGACACACACCGAACATTTCTGAGTTTGATCTTTGTTTCTGAAACAGACTGGAGTCCTGGGGATGCAGACTGTCAGTGGAGGGCCAGGACGTGGACGTTTGGCTTCTTGCAGTTGCTGTTTAACATTGGTTCATATGATAAACCACTGCTATATCATACAATACTGGGTTCTGAACTCTTCAGATTATAAATAAAAGTCCTGCAAAGGCAATCTTTCTGAATACAGAATAAAAGCAAACTCTTCAAGCATACCCCACTGTTCCTGTTCAGTCCCACGTTTTGCCTCTCTTCAGCTTGGTATCCAGCTGAGTGGACTCAGGCTTCCTACAATCCTTTGACTCCCTGCCCTGAGTCAAATGCAACCATCTCCACTTTCTCTAGATCCTCTAGTTATCCAGCGCTCAAGATCACAGGGGAAGGTATCTTCTTGAGAAGTCTAGTGTAGATTGGCTACTCCCGGCTGCTTTGAAATGATGCTCCATTGTCACAGCCGGTTGAGAGCGGTCTCTTTGCTGAGGAAGCTCAGAGCCATGAAACCTAATTGATTTCCTTGGGCTTTCATTCCCTCTAATTACAGTTGAGTATTTGTTGATAAACCATCCCAAGCTATTGTGAGAATGTGATGGAAGCTGCATAACTAGGAATTCATTCCTCACAATTGAACCTTTCACATGAACCAAAACCCAAGTAAAATTATCCCTTTTAACAAGTCTGTATGTAAATGTTGGCTTGCTGACCCCACCTTACATGGCCAAAAGGCTGTGTGGCACTCTCAGATGGCAGTTTACCACAAGACAAGTATTTGCCAATTTGTCTTATAGTTTAAGCTAAGACCCTCCAAAGTGGGAACTCAGCAGATAGCACTGCCTTCCAGAAGACCCAGATTTGGTTCCCAGCACCCACAGGTGGCTAACAATTGCTAACTCCAGTTCCAGGGCAAACAAAATACCATCTGACCTCTAAAGGTGCTAGTCATATATGTAGACAAGTTATACACATTAAAACTCTGTTAATCAGTGTTTTGTATATGCATCTCCAATATGCCTGTTGTGCGGTGGGGCGCAGAAAGACATCCAATCCCCTGGAACTTGTATGTTGACATAATGAAACCACAGGACAAGACCACTCCAGACAAGAAAAGTTTATTGGAAACCAGCTGTTGGGGCTGCCACCAGAGCTGAGGGCAGGTTAGGTTTTCTAGGAACTTTGAAGGGTTTAGGCAGATTCCTTTCTTATGGGGAATTTTTTTTCTTTATGGGCAACAGAAGCCCTAGCCAGGCCCCCGGGAGGGGTCTGCACCTGATGTAACTAGTTTGGTTGTTTATGATCGTCCCCTGCCAGTGAGTTGGCCATTTAGGGAGGAATGTGAAACAGACTCTGAGAAAAGTTGGGGGGGGGGGTGTTTATCTGCTGTGGTTAAGTTCAGGCAGCAACAGTGCATTATAAGGGGCACAAAGCAGGTTAGGGGGACATGTGATGGTAGACCTGAGGCAACTGTCAGGTGCCTGGCATACTCACCCTCAGGTAATGCCACTGCCGCTTTGCTGAAAAACCTAGAAACAAAGAACATTTATTGTGAGACTTAAGAGACCCATGGCTGAGGAGGGGAATAAACCAGGACGATTCTTACACTGGAGTTGGCTAGTTTGTGGGCCTACTAAGTTGTTTTATACTCTCTTCCCCTGAGCCAGACTTGTTTCTATAAATAATAACAGCATTCTTCTTTGAGAAGAGGCCTGTGATTCTCTGTATTGATGTCAGTAAATTGGGAGCCCTTTGTTTCTGGCCCATGTTGCCAGAGACAGAAGCTGCTTTTGGAGCAGTCAGTTGTGAGGCCCAGGTTGCCTCCTGAAGTGTCTGCCAGTTGGGTGGAGATGTTGAGAGGGACAGATTGGTCACCCCAACCGCACATGAACAGACCCATAGAAGCCATGGAGGTTGTCCAATTATTCCAATTATGTCTGGGAGTGCATCACCCTGGATGAGTATCAAGTTCTCCAAAAAAAAAAAAAAAAAAAAAAAAAACCCAGTTAACTTTCAACTTGCTTCTTTTCTCTACAAGGCATCTGAGCATAATGCAGTATCTGTTAGTGGAAAACACAAAGGTGGTCTGCTCGTCTCCACTATAGACAATTAAGACTAACAGGGCAGGCACTGAGCCAAGACACAAATGGATCCCATCAAACGCCTCACTCTCCCAAGGGCACAATTCTGAATTGCCAAAGTTTAGGGCTAGAGAGATGGTCCAGCAGTTAAAAGCCCTAGCTGGTTGCTCTTCTGGAGAACCTAGTTTCAATTCCCAGCACCCACATTGCAGCTCACAACTGTACCTCCTGCTTCAGGAGGATCTGATGCCCTCTTCTGGTCTCCTCAGGCACTGAAAGCACATGGTCCTGGCACATGTAGGCAAAAATAAATAAAAAATTCAAAAGTATTTTGTGTCAGCACCGTGACAAGTTTCAGGGTAGGAATGACTCGTTAAAATAATGGAAATAAATTCTACAGGCAGAAAATTCATAAATACAATTACATACCTTTTCTTCTCCAAGGTACACTAGTTCATCATCTCAAGCATTAGAGCTGCAAGAGAAAATAACCAGAGGTAATTAGACCAGTAACCATTAGATAGTAATATGCAGGCAATAACTATCTTACATCTACGATCCCCAGTGTACTTACTACCCAGTACTTTTGGTTCATCTATTCAGTAGTGTTTCCAGTTTTAAATGCAAAGCCTTATCTTTCTCTGTATTATTTCATTGACCAACTCTCCATTTGTTTTGTGTACGCACACAGAACACATGAAAGCCCAAGGGTAACTCTAAGTTGGTTCTCTCTACCACATAGGGCCCAAGCAGCAAACCCAAAGGTAGTGAGGGTGGGCACTGCTAAGCCTTCTCAGTATACATTCCCCCTTATCTATAGGGGTGGTGTGGCTGCATTAAATTCCTTTAAGTTGGCCTCAGGTAAATCCTTTAACCCATCAGAGCAGTGTATCCAATCAGGTTAGAGTTCTCATCCTTGGCCAAGAATTCTGTTCCTGGAATTGTGCTGGGACAAGTCAAATTAGTTCATTTAACCCATACCTTGTGTTCATTAACATCCCGGGAGAAGCACCACAGCACCTGCTTTAAAAAAAGTCAACAGTCAACAATGTTTTAAGTACCAGACAGTAGCTGTCTATTCCTTACACACAACCTCTCTTGGAGCCCCTAGCTGCCCCTGAACAACACTCCTATACAGGCTGTGATCTTCACATTTCTGACAGTGGGGAGGCTATTTTATTCCCTGTGCTATTTTTCCAACTGAATCCACAACATACTCATATAATCTATCAAGTTTAGAAACAAAAGTTGAAGCACTTTCATCGACTTCAAAAATCAGAAGCAGCTTTAATCTTTGCTGAAGCTTAACAGGAAGGTGAGGGAACCGTAGTTCTGGAACTTGCTGTGCTCAGTCCTTAGACTGGCTCATGCTGCCCCTCACTCCAGGCTGTGTCAAACAAAACGACAATAGAAACCTAATCCCTGAAGGAAACAAAACCACCATGGCATGCCCCTTTGTTGCAGCACAAGGAATACTGGACAAGAGCCCACAAGATTTTTCCCTCTAAAATGGCTTCACTGGGTGTAGTGGCTCCCAGTACCGCTTAACTATAAATCCCAGCACTTAGGGTACTGGGGCAGAAAGATTCCCTGGGCCGGAGTAAGAACACATCAAACAAAGATCGCATCCCAGTAGAAAAACCATTTAATGTCTTCCTTAGTTCATTCACGTCTAAATCTAGATCTTCACAAATGTTAAAGCATCAGTGAGCAGGCAGGCCTACGCCCGGTCTCAGAAACTCTCCGGGGAAACAGTGTTTCTACACCACGGAGCACAGACATTAGGTGTATAATGCGTTGTACAAGTATGAATCCAGAGGCTCAGATTCCCTCAGAACACAAAACCCAGGCAGACCCAGTTTGTGTCAGAGGATGGCTGGGCAGCATAAAACATGGCTAATCCAGCCACTGTGGGTCCAGAGCGCCCTGCTTGACTCGCTTGCAGCCATCGGCTCTCGGAAGCACCCTCAAACGTTTAAAAAAAAAAATAATACTGTGCAAAGTGGCATTTGAAGGGCACTTATGGCGAGGACACGGCTGCGTGGGCGAAATTACCTCTGTTCCTTGCTAGCACTGAAATTATCCTGCTACTCTTGATCTCTGATCTCATTCGCTTCCTAAATTGGCGATGTCCCCGTCACCAAACGACTGGGCAGGCGGGAGCCCGAAGTGTGCCAAAGACCCAGGGGCCGTCCTGACTGCGCCTCCACCTTGGAGAAGACAAATCCGGACTGCGCGAGGCCGAGCCCCAGTCCCACACCGAAGGGAACGACACCCGGCAGGGGCCGGAGAGCGGGGCTAGGGCCGTGGCGATCCCCGCGGCCACGTGGCGGCACCTCGCATTCCGCAAGACAAGCACTACTTACCAGGAGCGCGCCGCCTCGGAAAAGGGAAGACGCCCGGCCCGACCAAGTTTAAAATGGGCCAGAGAGTGAGCACCGGGGCGCAGCCAACCAGAGTGGCCCAGGGCCCCGCCCGGCCCGCCCCGTACCGGGTTCCCGCCCTATGCCAGATCCCCCGGCCCTCGCGCGCCCCCTGGTGGCCCCAGCGCCTCTAGCCTGCCCCCAACCCAGGACATCTGTTCTATTCACCGCCCTGATTGTAGAATTGTTCATCTCATCTCGTTCATCTCACTTTGAAGGTTAGAGAGGATCTTCGCGCCACTGCAGTGTAAGGATCCCCGCACCACACCCAACGTGCTTATTAAAGTCATACTTGGATTTGGTACTATCCCACACCCTTTTGGGCTTATTTTCATGACTAATTATGTAACAGAATTTGCTTCAGTTTAGGAAGCTGTGACAGCATGTTGAGTGGAATATCTTTAAGAGAGGCTGATGCAAGGGGAGGACCCCACGTCTGAAAATCCCACTACTTGTCCAATGCTGGACAAGATCTGTAAATATCTTGCCCTCAGAGTACGTCTGTGACTCTGGATGAGAGAAGGGGCTTGTACTGCGGGAAAATCAACAACACTGGGGCCAGAACATGGGTGATAGAGAGGGAACTGTGCCCTCCCTCAGAAGACATGAAGTGTTAACCTCCATTGCTAGTGAAGGTGATCTAACTGGGAAATAACCTTAGCTTTGTGATCAAGTTAAGATGAAATCATTGGGGTGGGCTTTTGTTTTGTTTTCCAAAGTGGGGTTTCTCTATGTAGCCCTGGCTGTTCTGGAATTCACTCTGTAGACCAGGCTGGGCTGGAACTCAGAGATCCTCCTGCCTCTGCCCCCAAGTGCTGCGATTAAAGACATAAAGCACCCTGTGTCCTCTTAACTAAAGGCAACTGGAATCATTCTGAGAGGGAGACAGAAACACAGCAAAGTGGAGACACACAGGGTGGACAGAGACATGTAACTACAAGCTCCAAGTGCCAAAAATTGTGACCCCAGCCAGAAGCTAGGAAAACACAAGAGTCCCTTTCAGTGGGTTTCAGCTTGGTCCTGCTGATACCTTGGTTTTGGACTTTTGGCAGCCAGAACTGAGCTGGCGTTTCTGTTGGAGACACCAAGGCATTGTTAAGGCAGCCCAGGCACTAGCTCAGTGACTGTGGGGAAGGGGATGACTCCTCTCAGTGGCTAAGACAAGCATCTCCTGTGGACCCTGTGCTTACTGGTGTTTACTGCTCTGTGCACTTGTGGGTAAGTGCTGAATTAATTTGGATTCCATGTCTTGGCATGTATCAGGTGGTGGGCAGCATGACTGTGACCATCTTAGTCACGAATGCCCCAGTTCAGGGACTTTTTTGATGGACAATTATCAACTTGTAAGGCAAACCCTATGTCCCCATCACCCAAAGGACTTACATTGTGTTCTAAGGTAGGATTTCCCTGGAAGGAGAACTAAGTGGAAGAGTTAAGAGTGGGAGGCATAAAGCCAAGTAATCCCACACCTCCTTCTAGGAGGGCCTACAAGTCAAAGAAACGCCTCTGGGCCACACCTGTGTTCCTCTGTCCTACTTTTACAAATATCTGCTTTTACCCACTATTGTCCCTGGAATTTTGGAGCTTGAGGTGTTCTAGTAACTGGTGTCAAGACCATTTGAGTCAGAAGGCTTGAATTCGTGTTTTGTGCCGAGTACTGTGACTAGCACTGGAGGGGTGTGGTAGTTAATTTTCCATTGCTGTGACAAAACATCATGGCCAGGATAACTTAAAGAAGACTTTATTTGGGGCGACAGAGATGGCTCAGAGATTAAGAGCACTGGCTGCTCTTCTAGATGTCCCAAATTCAATTCCCAGCACCCACATGGTGGCTCACAACCATCTATAATGAGACCTTGTGCCCTCTTCTGTCATGCAGGCCAACATGCAGCCAGAATACTGTATACATAATAAATAAATAAAAATCTTAAACAAATAAACAACAACTTTATTTGGGCTTATGGCTCCAAAGAGTTTGAGTCCACAATGGCAGAGTAAAGGCATAGCAACAGGAACAGGAAGCTGGGGGTTCACATCTTAAACACAAAGCACAAAGCAAAGAGCGAATTAGAAATGACATGAATCTTTAAACTCTTAAAGCCCATCTCTAGTGCTACACTTCCTCCAAGGTCATACCTCCTAGACCTCCCTAAATAGTGCCCCTGAATGAGGACCAATCATTCAAATTCCTGAGACTGTGAGGGACCTTTCTCATTCAAACCAAGATTTTTCCTATTGAAGTGGAGCTGGGCCTGAGGGCGCCTTCCAAAAACAGAGTTGTCCTGAGCGCAGAATGAGCTCCAGAAGTTTCCTTCTCTAGTGAAAGCCAAGAATGCAGAGCCTGGAATCGATTTGAATGAAGGCAGATGGCACTCAGGGAGAGATGGGGCAGTTTCAAGACCAAGGCCAATTTGAGTAAATAGTGAGAACTTGCTCACCTTGCAAAAAGGAAAGATGGCACCAAGGAATATACTCTGCCATTCATATGCTTAACCTTCTTAATGCTACAACCTTTTAATACAGTTCTTCATGTTGTGGGGCACCCCCACCATAAGACTATTTTGTTTCTATTTTGTAACTGTAATTGTGCTACTGTTCTGAATTGTGATGTAAATATCTGATAATCAGGCTATCTGGTATGTGACCCTCAAAAGAGTCAAGATACACAGGTTGAGAACCCCTATGCTAAAGTAACTGCATAGTATTCACATCCTAGGACCCAGCAGTGTTTTGTTTTTCTAGGCAAGGTCTTGGATGAGGACCTTGACCTGGTAAGACAAGCTTTCTTTTGGCATTGCCTGGCTTGACTCTTACTTACCAGTGCCTACCAGGGCATTGGCAGTGTTCAGCACCCCAATCCAATCAGGGAGAGTCTATCCCGAGCTCCAGATTCATCTAGATCATGCTCTGGGCTCTTGTTATGTCAGTAGGGTCCTGTGACGATGTAAATGTTGAAGGAAATGTTGAAGGATGGTCTACAACCATCCATTCTGTCTACCACACTCTTAGTAGGAACCCGGTAAAGGTTCTCTCTTATCAGGGAGGCAGAGAAGCAGGGGCTTCTGAAAGCCACTGAATAAGCAGTCTGTTGGATACAAGTATCAACTTTAAACTTTCATGATTCTTTTGATAGCTGAAAGGAAACCAGTGTTCCTGTTAATCGTGGGCAATACCATGATCCTGCACTTAACTCATATAAATACTCACTCCTCCCTCATGCTATGGCTGTTAGCACCCACTAGTTCATCCTTCCTGGAAAAGATCCACAATCAATTTGGAGGCATTGGGGCCTCACTTTTTTCCTCGTCACTGCCCAGTGCACTATTAAGTACTTGTAACCCTGACTCAGACATGGCTGGGGGCTGGGTGGGACAATCTCGGTTCTAAAATTACAAGCTGAGCAGTAAAAAGATTAATTTTCCTGCCCAAACTGGTTCTGCATGTGAAATGGGATGAACGTGTATTGTTATCATCTTCCTGGATGCTACCACATCTTGATC